GATGCAGCACATGTACGCAATACGAAATTAACACTGGGATACGTTGAAATTAATCTAGAGACGGCAAACATCAAATTCTCAGCTAAGAAAAGTAAAAAAAGTCCCAGTGTTGCTGGCGAAGTGGGGGGCCATCCTTCCTATTATGATATTAAATATTGAGTTTCCAAATATCCAGAGCTTCCCGGGCGCAGCACGGCATTAGTTAGTTTATTTAGTAATTCGTCTTTTCAAGTACTTACGCCCTTTTCCATAGAATGCTGGTGGGTGATCTACCGTGTATGATAGATATTCATTACTACTCCATCCAGAAAAAGTTACACGGATCGGCTTTACACCATTTTATACTTGATTTCACTATACTAGCAAATCCCTACGATAGAGATATCGTGGAGAATCGAGCTTGAATAAAGCAATTAATTCACACTATGTGGTAAGATGTGGTCCCAGCGTGCAGTTGGCGGCACTTAAGCAAGGCTGTCATCGTCCTTGACGAAAAAAAAAATAGCGCAAGGGGGAAGGAGATACTGGTTAGAGGGCTAAATGAAAATTGCCGGTGCAACACCATGTTGCCGTCCCCACTAAGAAGCAATATGGCGTCCTAGACAAGAATCTATGTAGTGCCCCCCACCAAGTTGGTCCTGGCAACCTTGAATAAAGTCATTGGGAGTTTTAAATGCATACTATTAGTAGAAATTGTATGGCTCGAGTTCATACTTGTCAAAAATGCTACTCAAAAAAATACAGACCATTCTACTATCGAATGCTGCTTACTCCGTTATCGTGGGCCCAAGCAACAATCCTGAAACTATAATATACTCAACGAATCGCTTCGAACGGAAATGGAAGAGAACGCTAGTAGGATTATTAGATTTAATAAAACTTTCCGTATTGTCTGGCAGCTCTGTTGTATGCGATCAGACCCGAACTACCCACCATGAGCGCTATATCTGTATCATCCAATCTCCCCAATTTTGTCAAAATCGACACTTTGATCGCCATTTCCGTATCGGATCCCCCACCTAGAAGCTTCGACCACTGGCTCCAATGAATGTCCTTTGCCTTCTTGTTCAATGCCTTGATATACTCCTCATAGATCCTAAACGTATCCACCTTGGTTATTTCATTAACAGAAAGGGTACTCAAACCAAGATCGTCCCAGGCCGCCGTTGTACTAGCCTTTTGCTTGAGCCAACCATCAACCTTAAACTTCTGGAAGTACTTGAAATTCGGGTCATCCGTCAGTGCTCTTCCTATCAGATTGGTGAGGTGTAGCTTGTTCAAGACGTAGTCCTCAGACTTGCCGTTCTTAATCCAAGATGTGACTCGCCAATTTTTGAGACCGGGTATCAATACACCCCTCGCTTCGTCATCGCTCATCCTGGCCGTACGCAGTAGCCTTCCGCCATAGCCACTTGTTGTAGGCCTTGACATCTTGGTGTGGCGGAACTCTGTAGCTTTCACAACCACAATGAACAGGGTCAACGCTGCCAACAGCAGGAAGCGATGCATTACGCCCATGTCTTTCAGGACTTCGTGAGACTTGAGATCTATCGGGATACGGAGCAAATGCTGGACTGGTGCCTTCGCAAGCAACAGGTCCGTAGATCGGTGTACGCAAAAGGTGTGATTCACAATGAACTTAGGTTGGGAGCCAGCAGCATGTGTTTTTGTGCTAACTGTCCATGATAATACTCAAGATGGGATCATTGCTACTACAACCCGTTATGATTGGCCAATAATTCTATAATAGTATATTATCAACCAATAGTAAGGCAAAATTCCCAAATTCCCAGTGATTTTTCTATACAGATTTCCCCGGCAAATCCACAGCGGTGGGACGAATAAATCGTCCGAGTTTACAAAGTTTACACAGGAAATCTGATCCAGGAAAATGTATTGATTTATTAGAAAGTTTTGCCTAGTAAGCAAGAATATGACGCACCGCCATTGTAGAAAATCGGTCGTGGCACGATAGCAGAGTGTACCCAGCAGTTTTTAATTGCTTTACCAACTTGGCTTCGTTGCGCAGGATATTGTAGAGAGACCATTCTGAAGGCGGTCGAGGCAAGTCAAACGCTCTTGCTGCCCACTCCACCAGAGCGTGCATGTCGGGGCGAGAACCTCGAGCTC